GAAGTAGAGCAGCTACGACAGGAAGCAGTGCCCCTGTGGAATGCTGGCACTGCGGACAGCACCACAACCTGCTAGGGCTACTGGTTAGCAAGAAGCACGGAGTGAAAGCATTGGATCCAGGATTTGGCTGGAACATGGAAACTGCAGCAGAGTGGGACCGGTCAAGACGGGGTGGGCCCACGAGGGCCAGCAGGCCTGTTCTTGCACCCCCCATGAGCTAAGTGTGTCTCATTTTTAGAAAAAAGATGTATTTATTTTTATTGGAAAGTCAGATATACAGAGAAGAGGAGAGACAGAAGGAAAGATCTTCCATCTGCTGATTCACTCCCCAAGTGGCTGCAATGGCTGGAGCTGAGCTGATCCAAAGCCAGGAGTCAGGAGCCTCTTTGAGTCTCCCACACAGGTGCAGGATCCCAAGGCTTTGGGCCGTTCTCGACTGCTTTCCCGGGCCACCAGCAAGGAGCTGGATGGGAAGTGGAGCAGCCGGGATTAGAACCGGCAGCCATATGGAATGCTGGCATGTGCAAGGTGAGGACTTAAGCCACTGGGCTACTGCGCCTGGCCCATGTATCTCATTTTTAACACTAGCGACATGTGAAAGTCGCATGCAATGTTCCCAGGACAGAGCCGTGTGGGCTGTGACTGCTCTCTGCAGTGGCCGAGGTGTGTGACTGACTGAGGCAGGATTGCAGGTGTTCAGGACGGAGGCTTGCCCTGGGTCCCTGGAAGGTAGCAGCACAGATGGAGGGAATGAGATGAAGGCGGGAGCTAGTCCTGAGGTAGACTGGACCAGGGGAGTAGAGGGGGTGTTGGGGTTGGCTCCCAGGGCTGTGGGTTGACCAGCTGTGCTAGTCAGGGTGTCAGGAAGACAAAGAGAGGCAATGCGACCGGGAGAGGGAAGGGCGAGTGATGTTTCCAGGCAGGTTTGGTGGAACAGTCTGCTTCCTGGAGCTAGGCAACCTAGAAGGTGCTAAAATCAGAGATTTCCTGAGCAATTAGCCTCACACTCTTCGGAGCCGTAGACTGGTGTGAGGCACCAGGGCATTCAAGGGCTTTTATGCCCCAGTGGAGAGCAGGTGTCTGTCTGAAGTTTCCATTGAATTCATGTAAGCGCTGTGAAACCTGAGCCGTGTCCCTAGGAATGAAACCAGGAGGAGGTCCCGGCAGAGGGTGGGGCTGTCCCTGACGGCCCACTTTCCCCCAGCCCCGCCTCCCAGCTGGTGAGGTTGGTCAGACAGGCAGAAACTGTCTCTGCAGATTTGCAGTAGTAACTAAGGGAGCTGATTGTTGGGGGCCCTGCTGAGGTCTGGGAATAGGGGTGACCACGAACACCTGCCCCACCATTTGGTCCTGGGGCGGTACTTTTTGGGAAGCTAGCTCTGGCCACCCCAGAGCAGTTTCTGGGAAGAGCAAGTCCTTTGGTTGCCAGCAGATGGCGCAGTGGGAAAGCAGGTGGGAGTCCTGGGAGAGCTGGGTCCCTGCCTGCCCGCCTCCTTCCGGGCCTGTGGGAATGGTCGGTCAGGAAGTGGCACGCACAGGGGCTCCACGGCCTCCCCTTACTTCCTGTTCTAACATGAAACTGTCCTTGTTTCTGTGGGAGGAGTGCTGTGGCTAGGGCGCACCGATGTCACGTCCAGTCACCCTCTCCCTATGGGGCCTGTCATTTCTTCTGTTTTTTGGTAGCTGGGTCTGCAGGATGCTCATTACAGAGGCCTACCTAACTGCATGTCACTCCCCACCAAGGCTTACTCCCTCCACACTCCTGTCAGCAAGTAGGTGGGGGTGGGCAGCACGATCCTGGGCTTTCCTAGCTCCTGCTGTGTCTGAAACTGACCTGCTTCCCAGCCTTTCCTTATGGCAGCCTTGTCCTGTGGGCACATTGGTCACCCAGCCATGGTGGCACTTTCTCTTCCTCCTAACTCCTTTCAGGGATGGGGACACTGAGAGTAAATCACGTGGCTAAGGTTGTGTGCCCAGGGACAAGACAGGTTGGACCAGCTTCTAAGTCAGGGACAGTGTGAGTCTCCAGCCTCCTTCCTGGTCTAAATACTAGCATACCCCAACCCTGGGTCTACAGTGATGACAAGAGCTCTTCCCCCGTGCAGCTCAGCTTCTTCCATCCGCCCACCTCCCTGGACCGTGGTTTTACGCTTCCAGCACTGAGCAGAGCACATCGCCTCCAGGCGGCCCAGGACCCGAGGGAGCATTGGCAAGGGAAGAGTCCTTCGCTGTGAATGAGAAGCTGGTGGGAGAGGGTGTGGCTGTGTCCCAGGACCCTCAGGTGTGCTGGTAGGGAGGGTGTGTTGGGTCGGAGCACCGTCAGGGTGCGTGGGTGTGCTAAGGTGTAACTGTGTCCCAGCATCCTCCCCTTCGAGTTGTACTGCCTTGCCTGGCTACCTCTCAGTGGGGTGCCTTTGCCCACAGGCTTCGGGAGTCCCCTTAGCTGTATGTGTGAGGGGCGGGGGTTAGTGAGTTTCTACTCCTCCCATTGAGAGGGTTTTGCCTCATCCAGGACCTCATCCTCTAGTTCAGTGTTTCTCAAATTTTAGCGCGTGTGAGAATCACCAGGAATGCTTAGCAAAGCAGGTGGCTGGAGGTACTGGTGTTGTGGATAAAACTGCCCTGGGTTGAATTCCAGCTGCCTCACTTCTGATCCTGTTGGTGCAGCTGGGAAAGCAGGGGAGGATGGCCCATGTTGTTGGGCTCTTGATGCTGACATGAGAGGCCTCGATGGAGTGTCAGGCTCCGGACCTGCGCAAGACCGAACTCTGACCTTGTGGCTGTTGGAGGATGAAAGATCTTTCTCTCATGCTCTCCCTCTCTCTTTGTAACTCTGCCTTTCAAACCATCAAATAAATCTTAGGGTTATGCCTCTGCCTGTGGTACTGGGATCCCACATGGACATCAGTTCAAATCCTGGCTCTTCCACTTCTGGTTCAGCTCCCTGCTAATGGCCTGTGAAAGCTGCTGAGGATGGCCCAAGTCCCACAGGGGAGATCTAGAAGAAACTCCTGGCTCAGTCCTGGCTGTTGAGGAGTGAACCAGTGGATGAAGGATCTCTCTGTCTCCCCCCAGCCCCCGCCCATAACTTTCAAGTTAGTAAATCTTTTCTTTTTAAAGGCTAGTTTCTACCCTGAGCGTTTCTGGGGTAACCCCAAGAATATACATATCCACCGTGTTCCCAGATACCCACGCCACTGCTCGGTACTCCTGCGAACTCAAAGATGATAGCTACAGCTCTGAGGAGCTGCGTTTCAAAGGCTTCCCCTTGCCTGGCTCCTGGGAGAGAGCACCAAATCCTCCCTAAGTCCTGGAGGGCTGTTTCTCTCTTCTCACCTGCCGGGCACACCCTGTGGCTCACAGGTGGCCGTGCACCGTCGCTGGGAAAAGCCAAGCGCTGTGAGAAGGGCCCTGTGCGGAGCGGACGCCTGGAAGCCGGCTAAGGCTCTCTTGGACTTGGCTCTGTGTACCTTTTGCTGTTGCTGTTTTATTAGTCTGTGTTCTTTCACAGCAGGAAACTGTTCTGTGCGTCCCATGGGAATCAGGGGTGAGCTTGGGAATTTTCACTCCTGCTCCAGGCTCTGGCATCCCCTGAGTCTCTAGGTTCCTTTTCAGTTGGGTTTTGGGGACTCCTTATCCACAAAGCATCATAGGCTCACACCTCGATGGAGCTCTTTGGCCCCAGGAGCCCAGGCCCTCACTTTCACAGTTCAGGGGTCAGGAGGTTGCCAATTGCCTGGTAGCTTGGGTGTGGCATGGCAGGGTGGACCTCAACGACTGTCCTGTCTGCGGGCCTTAGTCTCCTGACCTGCACATGGGGTAGGCAGCAGCCCTGTACTCCCTGGGTGTCAGAGGACCCCAGAGCAGCCACCATTGCCAGAGCCAGGTCTGCCTCTTATAGCCCCACTCACCTGAGCTAGGGCTCTGGGGTGCTGGGGCCCACGGGCTGTGGTAGACGCAACACCTCAGGGCTGCCCACCGTGTGTCCACCTCAGGGCGGCGGCCCACATGTCACCATCCTCGCCTCTCCTTCCCCCATTCCACCCTAGCCTCAGACCAGGACCTGGAGTCCACACCTGGAAGAAGGCCCACAGGTGCCCGCGGGCTATGTGGCTTTATTCACAGGCTCAGCACTTGCTGAAGAGGGAAGAGAAGAACACTTGGGGCCGGACTGAGCCTGGAGATGAGAAGAGCTGGGAGCCATGCGCGGGTGGGAGTGGGGTGCGCACAGGGCAGAACCTGTGGGCTGGGCCGAGGGCAGGCAGCATGCGGGAGACCTGGCTGGAGCTGCACAAAGCAGGTCCAGCCAGGGGGTGGCCGTGAGCCGGGACGGAGGGACTGATGTTACTCCGGGATGGGGCCAGGTGGCAGACAGCCTTGACCGTCTACTCCCAGGGAAATGACGTCATCGTGGGGGGCAGTGCCGCTGCCTGGGATGTGACTGTGCAACTAGCCAAGCCGGGCCCCTCTGGTGTCACCGTGCTGTTGATGCTGGGGCGTCCGTCTCGGCATGCTCTGGGGACATTCCTTGGGAAGATAGACGATCCTGGAAAGTGTGCGGAAGACCCTGCGAGGTGTCTGATGAGCGTTCCTCGGGATGGCTGTCAGTTCCCAGCAGTGACTCCCAGAGGGCGCCATTTCCCACCGCATTCCGGGGCCGAGGCCCACTATAACCTTCATTTTGTTGCTCCAGGCCCGCAAGCTGACTTGAGCCTAAAGCCTGCATCCTCCTGCCCGGGCTTTCTTCCTAGTGAAGAACCCATTCCACCCAGCCGGGAATAGAAAAACCAGTTCCCCAGGTTTCAACACTCCCCTTCCCCCACCCACCTGGGAACAGAAAGTTTGGAAAGTTGGCAGAGTGAGTGAGTCTGTCCAGGAAGGTGATGCCAGGGGCCTGAACTCCCGGCGTGGCCTGAGCTGGGCCTTGGGGCTGAGGACAGTCCCTGCCCGCTTCCCACTGGCCGCTCTCCCTGGGGTGGAGGGATGAGGGCGAGGGGCCGTCAGCACTGGCGGGAGGGGGTGCGGTGTACAGATCCCGGGCGTTTGGGGATCTTGCGCCAGCGTCGCTTGTCCCAGCGGCAGAGCAGCAGCAGGCGGAAGGTGTCCCTGAAGGCCTTGTTGCAGAGCGCGTAGCACATGGGGTTGATGGTACTGTTAACATAGCACAGCCAGTAGCCCAGCTCCCACAGCGTCTCGGGGACACAGTCCTTGCAGAAAGTGGACACCAGCACCATGATGTTGTATGGTGTCCAGGTGAGGATGAAGGCCAGCAGGATGGCGCTCAGGGTCCGAGCCGCCTTCTTCTCCTTGACCAGCGAGAAGGTCTTGCGCTTGGCCAGCTCCTTGCCACGGGGCTTCTGGCTCTTGCTGGCCCGGTCTCGCCCCTTCCGGGTCGGCCTCTTGACCGTGTTTGGGGAGCTCCGGGGAGGCTGCTTGGTGGGGGCCTGCGTCTCGGGGTCCACCATGGGTATCTTGATCACCACTTCGGAGCCGGGCTCCTCACCTTCCGAGGATGTGAGGGACTCCATGGAGCCTTCGTCGTCCTCTTCCTCCTCTTTCCAGCTGTAGGCTTGCAGCAGCCGGGGGGCCCGGCAGCAGCGACAGCAGTGGCCCTGGGGTGTCTCTGAGGAGCCCTCGGCCCCGGGCTGCGACCTCTCAGAGCTGCTGCTGCTGCCGCCCCCTTTGCCCGGCGTCTCAGAGCCCTGCAGGGCCGCCAGCTCCCGCGCCCGGTTTTCCGTCTCCCGGTAGATGCGCCAGTAGAGAGTGCACATGACTGTGACCGGGAGGTAGAAGGCAGCCATGGCTGTGCCGAAGGTGATGATGGGCTGGGAGAAGAATTGGATGTAGCACTGCCCAGCCAGTACCGTCCGCTCCCCTACTAGGTATTGCCAGAAGAGGATGGCCGGAGCCCAGAGGATGAAGGATACCAGCCAGGCCAGGCCAATCATGAGGGCTGCCCTGCGAGGGGTGCGCTTGGCACGGTAGCTCAGGGGCCGGGTTACTGAGAAGTAGCGGTCAAAACTGATGAGCAGCAGGTTCATGACGGATGCGTTGCTGGCCACGTAGTCCAGGGCCAGCCACAGGTCGCAGGCTAACGTACCGAGGGCCCAGTGGCCCATGAGCAGGTAGGTGGTGTAGAGGTTCATGGAGAAGGTGCCGATGATGAGGTCGGCGCAGGCCAGGCTCAGCAGGAAGTAGTTGTTGACCGTCTTGAGCTCCGTGTTGACCTTGAAGGAGATGAGCACCAGCAGGTTGCCCGTCACCGTGGCCAGGGACAGGAGGCCCGTGGTGATCCCGATGAAGGCCATTTGCCAGGGACCCTTTCCCGGGGCCAGGACTGTAATGTTGGGGCTGACGGCAGGGGGCGCCGAGGTGTTCATGGTGGCCAGCTGGGGGGCGTTGGGGGGCGCGGCCCCTTCCTCAAGTCGCGGGACAGGGCTTCCTCAGAGGAGGGGCATCACCTGAAAGGAGAGGGCGGGTCTCTGATGTCTCAGGGCCTCGCATCACCCGCCATCCCCGTCTCACTGCCTCCCCTCCCCAGCCACTTACTGAGCGCTTCAGTGGCAGCAGGTGTCCTGGCCGCGGCTCAGTGGCTTTTGGAATCTTGAGATCTGAGCCCTCCTCCTGCTTTGAGTCCCAGGTTTGCTACTGCCAGTTCCTATCTGGCTTGACTCGTTTGGCAGGGGCTGGGAGGTTCATTGTACATCTTTGGCCCTGCCAGGTTTTCAAAGCATGTCGCTGGACCGTGTTCTCCAGCCAGACTGGGCGCTAAGCGCTTGACTGGATTTTCTGATTGAACCGGCACACGTGTCTAGGAGGAAGAGATCTTATGATCTGCCCCTTCTCTGCAGCACGCAGCCCTGGCGCTGACAAGCTACAGGGTTTGGCCGTGGGGACACAGGTGCTGCACCAGCACCCCCCAGCAAGTGGAGCTCCTGTGTCCATCCAACAGGGTGAGCTGAGGGGAAGAAGGGCGGCAGAGCGGAGCTGGGCAGAGCAGGCGAACAAGTGTTTCTGCGCATGCGTGGGGGGGTGGAAGGGGATGTTTGGGGTCCGAATTGGACCCTCTGTGAGGATAGCAGGGAGAGCTGTGCTGGACTCAGGTGCTTGCTGGGTGGCAAGGGGTTTGGAGCAAAAACGGGCAGCAGGGAGGAGGGCCTCAGCTCCCGGCTACGTGGGGGTCTGGTCCAGATGGGGCGTGGGAGGCTCCCTTCCCTCACCCCACGCTGTTCCTAGGCCCCAGCTGAATGTGTTTGTGTGTGTGCGTGGAGTGGGGGAGGGAGCAGCAACGGGAACTACAAGTTCCCCCGGAAGTGTCTGGGACCTGCAGTCTGGCCCAGGCACTAGGGCTTGCTAAGGAGTCAGGCCAGGGGTCTTAGCTACCATCTCGTGGTGATGCTTTCCGCAGCCCCTGGAGCCAGAGGAAGTCAGAGTGAGGTGAGGGTGCAGGCCCCACTGCTGTGTGACTCAGAGGTTTCTTCCTGTTCTGGGCAGCCATCTGTCCCTTTCGAGAAGTTGTGGAGGTGGGGAGGCCCCCTCCATTCTCCAGGGGAGATATTGTCAGGTGAGCGCCCGCCAAGCCCTGGTGTGCCTTGGGGACCCGGTCTGAGACAGAGTCTGGCGCTGGGCCTGTGGTAGATGGTGGAGTCTGGGCATCTCCTTGGAGAGCTGTACTTGCAGGGAGTGAGGGCTGCAGCTGGCGGTCAAGGCCCTCACTGTGTGGTGAGTGGCCAGGACACGCATCAAAAACCCGCAGTGTGGAGTCAGAGTGTCTGGACTGGAGGCCAAGCCTTGCTGTTTGTTTACTGGCTGTGTGATGGTCACTTGTGGTGGATCCTTCGGCCTCCTCAACTGAAAGATGGGGCAAAGCCCATTCGTTCATTAGCTAAGGCCTCGAGGAACTGCGGTGCGGACTGTATGGGTCCAGAAAAGCAGCAGCCTCCAGGAGCTGGTGCACCCTCAGGATGTGTGGCACAGGGGATGCCTCCTGCCTCCCAGGACTGCTTCTTGCTTTAGAAAGGAACAGCAACAATGGCAACCAAGGCTGCCCACCGATGCTGTTCAGGGGTCCCTGAGAAGAGCTACCGTCTTATTCAATCTGAAGGGCATTGAGGTTCTAGGCAGTGGGTTCCCCCTCATGTTACAGGTGAGCGAGTTGAAACTCGGCAAAGCGATAAAGTCTGCAGGAGATCAAGCAGGGAAAGGAGGAAGTGGAACTTGTGCCCAGTCATCGTGTTCTAAGCTCTGGTCTGGCCCAACCCTGTGGCCGTGGGGAGGCATCCACCAGATAGCTGCTCCGTCTTCCTCTCTGCCTCTCATATCACAAAAAGAAGGAAAGAAAAAGAAGCTTCAAGGTCTGGTGCAGTAGCCTAGTGGCTAAAGTCCTTGTCTTGCATGTGCTGGGATCCCATATGGGTGCCGGTTTGTAGCCTCTCTGCTTTGGCCAGGGAAAGCAGTCGAGGAGGGAGAGAGAAATCTTCCCTCTGCTGGTTTACTGCCTGAAAGAATCATAATGACTAGACAGGAGCCGGAATGCCATCCTGGTCTCCCACCATGGGTAGCGAGAGCCCACCATCTCTGGCTATCCCTGCTTCCCAGGAGCCTTAGCGGGGAGGAGCTGGATTCAAATAGAGAAGCTGTGACTTGAACTGGTGCTTCCTAAAGCGGATGCCGGCATTGCAAGCAGTGGCTTAACTCACTGTGCCACATCACCAGCCACAGGAAAGTAGTGTTACCATCTAGTATGTTACAAGAGGGAAATCAGTGCAAAGTGATCCTCGGTAGGTAGGGTGCCCTGTCTCACTTGCCTCGCCCGAATCCTGGCCCCAGATGCAAAGTGGAACCTTGTTCACGAAAACAGATAGCTAGTCCACGGACTGCAGTTTGTGATTTGATTTTTAGAAATATTACATTGGGCCTGGTGCAGTAACCTTGTGGCTAAAATCCTCGCCTTGCACATGTGCCAGATTCCATATGAGCACTGGGTTGTATCCCAGCTGCTCCACTTCCCATCCAGCTTCCTGCTTGTGGCTTGGAAAAGCAGTCGAGGACAGCTCAAAGCCTTGGGATCCTGCACTTGTGTGGGAGACCTGGAAGGAGCTCCTGGCTCTTGGCTTCAGCTGGGCTCAGCTCTAGCCATTGCGGCCACCTGGGGAGTGAATCAGTGGATGGAAGATCTTCCTCTCTGTGTTTCCTCCTCTCTGTAAATCTGACTTTCCAGTAAAAATAAAAACATCTTTAACAAAAAGAAATACTATATTGTATGTAATAGTATTTCCCTTGATTGGTTTGTTTTGGTGTGTCCCTCTTTTGTTAACGATGATTTGAAGAGAAGATTTACAGAGAGATAAGGGGAGAGAGAATCCTTCATCATCCTGTTCACTCCCTGAATGGCTACAACAACCATTGCTTGGCAAGGCTGAAGGCAGGAGCCTGGTCTGCCATGTGAGTGGCAGAGTCCTAAGCAGTCGGACTCTTTTCTGCTGTTTTCCCGGGAGCTGCAGGAACTGGAAGCAGAGCTCCCGTGGGACGCTGGTTCCACCTGCCGTGCTGCAGTGTCGGCCGGAGTTCCCCTCTGAGGTTCCGTCCCACCGTGTGTGCCTCATGCATTCACCCTAGTCATGGCACTAGGACCAGGGCCTTGGGTTTGAAGCTCGACCCTGCCCCTTGCTAGCTGTGTGACCCTCGGGGATCACGACACTTGACATTCCCCTGCCCCCCTTCAGTCTTGGCCAATGGGGCTGCAGTGTTCCAGGGGCCCAGCTCTGAAGCAGATGTTACCATTCCCAGCTCCAATCCTGAGCCGTGACCTGGGCGCTTCCCACCATGTCCCTTCCCTCCAGTCCAGACCCCGGCCTCAGCCCATCTTGGCTTCCCAGTTTGTTCCTTTGTGGCATCTGGGAGACCTCACCAGGGTTCTGCAACCAACATCTCCACATGCTAAACATAAGACCCAGCTCTTGAGGCAGCTCGTTTATGCTGTGTCCCTGGGGCTGGGATGTAGGCTCAGGCCAGGGACTAGAGCGGTCTCTGCCCAGTGTAGTCTCCGGCTGGAGGCTCTGGTCTGGCTGAATGTAAAGATGCTGTGATGGGCCCAGCATGGGAGCCTAGCGGCTAAAGTCCTCGCTTTGTACACGCTGGGATCCCATATGGGTGCCAGTTCTAATCCTTGTGGCCCTGCTTCCCATCTAGCTCCCTGCTTGTGGCCTGGGAAAGCAGTTGAGGACAGCCCAAGGCCTTGGGACCCTGCACCTGCATGGGAGACCCAGAAGAGGCTCCTGGCTCCTAGTTTTGGATTTGGCCGTTGCGGTCGCTTGGGGAGTGAATCAATGGGCGAAAGTTGTTCCTCTCTGTGTCTCCTCCTCTCTGTATGTCTGACTTTCCAGTGAAAATAAAATAAATCTTAAAAAAAAAAAAAGATGCTGTGGCACCGTGTGTTAAGCTGCTGTTTGGGTTGCCTGAATCCCAGAGTACCAGTTGGCATCCTAGCTGCTCTACCTCCCGTCCAGCTTCCCGCTGACGTGCCTGGGAAGGCAGTGGAAGATGGTCCGAGTGCTTAGGCTCCTGCATGCATGTGGCCGACAGAGGTGGAATTTCTGACTGCTGGCATCAGCCTGGCGAGCCCTAGTTGGTTGTTTGGTCATTTGGGTAGTGAACACACACACACACACATACACACAGAGTCTCTCTCTCTCTCTCACTCTATCTTTCAAATGAAATAAAAGGTGGATAAGATGCTTCTGGGGCAGACATTGTGGCACATCATGTTACGCTGCTGCCTGGGTCACTGGAGGACCTGTTTGACTGCTAATGCAGTCTGGGTTGTAGCGGAAGCTGACCCGCTGCTTGGGTCCCTGCTGCTCATGTGGGAGACCAAGATGGAGTTGTAGGCTCCTGGCTTCAGCCTGGCCCAGCCCTGACTTCTGAGGATATCAGGCAGGGGTGGCCGGGGGGAGAAGAGAAGACTTATCTGCCTTTTTTCTTCTCTTTGTCACTGTGCACTGCAAATCAATAATTTAAAGAGTATGAAAAGATGGAACGTGTGCAGGGAGACTTGTGACAAGTAGCCCCGGGCTCTTCAGTGCCGAGGTTTTCCTGTTTTTACAGTCGTATTTGTAACCACCTTTAATGGTGCCTTCTGTACGCCAGGCAGGATGTATATCATTGTCCTTTCTCTCCAGGGAATGCTGCGGCCAGGCCACTGACTTCCACGTGTGTCCTTTGTCCTTGGCCAAGCCCACCCGCGTCCAGCTATGAGCTATGGGAGTTCCAAGGGGTAACTGAGAGAAGGCCAAGGGGTACAGATTCTGGTGGTGAGCTGGACTTCCGCCCCGTGGGCCTTACCCAAAGGGCAGACATGACAGTTTAAAGACTAAAGCCAAAAGCACTGACATCCCAGATGGGCATCTGTCCTGGCTGTTCTGCTTCAGCCCCAGCTCCCTGCTTATGGGCTAGGAAAAGCAGCAGGGGCTGGCCTAAAGCCTTGGGACCTTGTACCCGTATGGCAGACCTAGAGGAAGCTCTTGCTTTCAGATTCAAGGGGTAGTGGAGTCAATCAGCACAAGGAAGCTCTCCTTCTCTCTCTGTAAATGTGCCTTTCAAATAAAAATAAATCTAAAACAAAAAATAATAAATAAAAAGGCAGCCCCCACGCAGACCATCTTTGCTCTCCTGGGCTTCTCCTCCACAGTCAGAGGCAGGGACCCTTGTCCTAGCCCCCACTGTCTTGGACAGCGACAGAGCTCAGAAGATGCTTCTTGGACATGTGGCCTTGGGGTCAGTGTTTTTTTCCTGTTCAAGGCTGTCAGAAGGCTGACACGATGATGAATGTGCAGGAATGCAGTGGCTGATGCTCCTAGGGGTGGACCTGCCCTGGGCTGAGAACTGGGTGCCAGGGATCAGTGGTGGTATGAGAATTTCTGCTTGGGGACTGCCACCTGGCTCAGAGGAGGCCTGCGGCTGCACCTGCTGTGAGCCTGTTTCGTACAAATGTGGATGGGGCAAGGCCCTAGTCTGTAGCAGTCAAGGCGATGGGGGAAGATCCGCAGGGCAATCCCTGGCTTCAGGCTCTTGTCTTGCTGAGTGTTCTTGGTGATGCCTAGGTGCGTGTTGGTGCGTGAGGACGCGTGGGTTACTGAGTGAAGTATCCTAGGTGTCGTGGGGATGGGTTAGGAATCATCCTTGGAGGGTGTCAAGGAAACAGGAAGTGCTTTTCTGCCCTGGAACGTGGCCTCCCTGTGACAACTATCAGGCACCTGAAGCTATCATTAGTAACTGACACTGTGGCTCTAAGCTTCATCTGTAGGATTTGCCCATGAGCCGTGCTTGGGAGGCGGGTTCAACGTCCTCAGATTCTAACGGGGGCAGCTGAGGCATGCAGACCCCAAGGCCCTCACAGCTGAGTAACTGGGACTCAGGCTGTCTGTTTCTGGAACCGGTCTCTGGGACCCTGCCTATAAGCTGCTCCTGGAGGAGTGCCCACCTCAACTCCCTTGGCCAAACCCTGGGTGGAATCAGCCGGCAGTGAGGACTAAGTCCTTCTTCTTCCCCTTCTAGAGCCTGGCTTCTTTCTCTGTGTGTGTGACAGCATCATGACACCTCTGACACAGGACGCCAGTGCCGGGGGAAAGGCCCACCAGCTCCTAGTGTCTCTACACGGGAGCAGTTCCATCAATCCAGCCTCATTCACGGCTTTCCCCCAGGCTTCGCACACAGTACTTGCTCAAGAAGTATGTGTGGAATACATAGATGAAGGTGTTCCTAGGGGGCTCTGCCTGACTTAAGGCATGGGCCAGGGGTCCTCTGCTCACTGCAGCACACACACACATCCCCTCAACCAACCAGGACCTGCTCTCTTGTATGTTACACTTGCCTAGTGTGAGAGCCCAGGAGCAAAACAGGCCAGAGTGTCTCCATCTGTGAAACGGACCCAGGAAACTCTGCTTCCCTGGCTGCAGGGAAGCTAGTGAGGTGACAAGACAGACCTGGCCTCTGCGTGCACCTGTCATTCAAGTGCGGGAAGAGAAAGTCAGCCTGGGTCCAAAGGGTTAAAAAGATGAGGTCAGAGCCTGTAGCAGACCAGACTGTTGACTGCCAGCGGCGGCCTGGACCAATCCCCAGGGGCTGGGGGTCTGGCTGGTGAGAGGAAGGGGGGAGGAGGAGAGCTGCTGGGGGAGGAGGGCGAGAGTTAGGGAGAGGGATTCCTGAACACTGGGTCTTCCTGGACCTTGCCAAGGTGGGTATACAGACAGAGGGGGTGGCAAAGGCCTGAAATTCAGGAGGGAGGAGAGGAGCCACCTTGTAATGCTGGCCCCTAGAGCTGCAGAAAAAGCCGGGGAAAAGGGACAGCCATGGGGCGGGAGGAAGAGGTTATGCAAAGCTGAGCTCCGAGGGCCTCCGTCCCGCCAGGTCTAACCCAGTCTAGGCCTTTACTTCCTTACTCAGGCCAGCTCATGCCTGGCCTTGGCAATGAGCGACTAAATAAATGGAATCCCTCACATTTTCAGGTTCCAGTCTCCACTGGTAGTGCCAGCCAGCCCCGAGCGGGGGCAGTAGCCATCAGTTAAATGCTATAGAAACACACTGCCGGGCTGGGACAGGAGAGGTAACGTAAGACCTTTCTCCATCAGACCTGCTCACCCAGCACAGACCTGAACCAGCTCCCCGACTTGAGCCACACCAGGCCAAAGCCTGGCTGTGGGCCATCAGGCCGCAGGTCTCATTCTGCAAGGCCTCCCATCCTCCTCCCCACGTGCCCTGGCTCTTCGCTGCTTGCACTCCCCTCTGCATTTCCTTTATTCTCTCTTCCTCCCTCCCCCATCCTGGTAGGCATCACCATGGCACCACAGTAGAACAGAAACCCAGCACGAGTCACCCACCTCTCCCGCCCGCCCGCCTGCCCGCCTGCCTGCCTGCCTGCCGGGGGAGCCGCGTTCCTGCCTGCCTCCTGTTTGGTGCTGCACTCCTGCTGTGCCACCCCATCCTCCTGCTCATGCTGTGCTGGGGGTGAGCGGAATAGGATTTGAGCTCCAACTGGACACTCTCCCCTCCCCCTGCCTCGCCATGTTCCTTCTTTGGTCCTGAGCACAACCCTTCTCTGCCCATCTGTACAATGGGAAGATTCCTTTCTGGGTCAGACCTGAGCGCTGCTCAGCCCTTTCTTTGGACTCCCCTTTGCACTTGAGAATCTAGTGCCCAGGCCTCCAGTGTCCAGCCTGGTAGGGGAGCCAGCAGCTCCATCTTCAGCATCTCCTCCTCTTCCTTTCTCAGAGAGCTTGCCAAGCGACTGAGGTCAGAGGGCAAAGAACTCTCCTCGGACCCTCTCAGTGAGCAAATATGGGAGACTGCTGTGTGAGACTGCCTGATTCCTTCTGGCTGCCTGGCTGAGCGGCCCCCGTGTGCAGGTGGTGGGAGGGGTGAGGAGACACTGAGGACCCCAGGCTGCACATGCCTGAATGGCCTTGGGCAAACTGAGAGTCCTGTTCCCAGCTGCCAGCTGGGGAGATGGCAGTCCCGTAAGAACCCAAAGCCCTTGGCCCCTCGCCAATCCCTACTTCGTGGCATCTGGGGGCACTGGGATGGACACTGGACACAGGTACCCGTGAGTGGCATGGATCACCTGGAGGTAGGACAGAGACCTGTCCTGCAGGATCCTGAGGTCTTAAGAACACGGTCCCCCATGCTGCCTGGCTCCCACACGTGTCAGGGCCACGCTCCCCAGCTGCTGTGGTCATCCCTGTGCTCATCTGGCCCCAGAGAGCCCTGGGGCTCTTTGCCTGGTCTCTTGATGGCTTCCGGCCCATCACCCACCTTGGCATCCAGCTTGTCCATCTGGCCAGCAGCCCGATTCAGTCCATCTTGTGGGGGCTGAAGGTGGATGGGGGTGGTGGGATTCAGGGTGCCCTAAGGGAGGAGAGGAGGAGATTCTGGGACTGGTACCCAAATTAAGTGGGGGCCAACCTCCCACAGGATGGTGGTAGCACAGAGACTGCCCACTGGACCCCTGTCCTCCTCACTGGCCTGCCGGGGGTCTGTCTGCTCTGTGGCAGCCTCTGGGATCCAGGTTCATTTTCCTAAGGGAGGGGATGTCTCCATCCTCTCTGCTAGCCGAAGCCCAGAAAAACATCAGTGTATCTACTCCAAGTCAGCACGTTTGGAGCAGCCAGTGTCCACACTGCAGCACCCCTTGGCCTCGAGACCCCTCCCTGCATGCCCCCCCCTCTGGAGTCCACCTCCATTTCTGTCTCACCCTGCTTTACTCCGAGGACCCTGCCCCCCACCCAACTCAGCCGAGCCCCTCCCCAGCCCTCCCAGGGCTACTCACCATGGGGCCGGGAGAGGGGTCTGTAGGATCCTCAGCCACACTGCTTTTCGGGGGGCCGGCAGCGTCTCCTGGGACCCAAACACCTGGCTCCCGGGGGGAGCTGCACCCTGTGCTGGCAGCGAGAGAGGCACAGCCAGTGATTGGCATGTCCCACCCCCTGGCACGCCAGCCCTGGGGGGGGGGAGGGAGGAAGGGAAAGGGAGGGAGGAAGAGAGGGAGAGAAAGGAGGGAGGGGGAGCTGAGGGAAGCCTCAGGCGGCATCTGGGGCTGGATTATCCTGGAGCATGCCCCCTTCCTCCACCAGGGGACCCACTTTGCACCCCAAGAGGGAGGAGGCAGGACATGGGGAAGGAGGGTCCACGAAGGCTGTAAGTCCAGGAAGGGAAAGAAGGCAGGGAGACAGATACCCACACCCACGCACACAGACGCAGCGGCACACACCCTCATAAAGGCATCCAGTGCTTCCCCCTTCCCTGCTCCCAGCAGGTGCTCAACATGCCCCAACACACATGACCCGGGATTCACATGCCTGCTCTCCCTTGCGCACACACCCTCCCCCAGTACAAGCCCACGCGCTCACCCACCCAGCCACACTCCCTGCTCGTCCCCCCTGCTGGCAGGGAGCTGGATTCCTTCTGTTTGGAAATGACACATTGGGCCTCACGTGAGAAGCTCCAACTTGGAACCGACCCAGAGGGCTGGCGCACCGCGGACGTGCCCGCGTGCGGGGCCGAGTGCTCTCACCGCCAGCTGGCTTTGCTGCCAGTCTCGACGTGAGGGGACCTGGTTTGCGGGGATGGGTCGCGGGATGGGGAGTGTGGGCATGCTCCGTGGCGCTGTGGGGCTTGTGTAAACGCAGGTGACGGTCTGGCTGGAGGTGCACGCGTGTGCCTGTGCTCCATGTTGCCCAACATTCAGAACTTGCTAATTCTGACAAGTGAGGCAGCCCCTATCTCCCTTCCTGCTCCACCCCCAGCTTCCACGTGGAAGACAGACAGACAGGCAGACCGACAGCTCTCCTCCCAGCCTGTCAAACTCGCTCTTGCACGACTCCCACTCAGGGCTGGCAGGTGCATATCTGGGAGGTGCAAACCCCTTCTCCCCTCCCCTCCTCTCCCTTCCCCCAGCTCTGCCACTGGGCCAGCGGCCCCTGCTCCGTCCTTAGGCCTGCTTGGATCCCAATGTTGCATTTCCGGAGAGATGGACCCCCGCCCCCACCTCGTACAGAGGGTAGCTTTGCCATAGCTGGGCCGAGTGTAGTCCTACAGTAGAGACTAGGGGGGCTGAGAGTGGGGCGGAGGAGCTGACAACGGAGGACAGTTGAGGAGGTTACAGGCACTGTGGTGTTTTCCCTCTTGGCCTCCCAGGGCGATGCTGAAATCCCTTTGTTGGGAATTAGGATCATGACCTGCTTCCCCCTTATGCAGGTGAGAGACAAGAGTGAACTTGCGATGGGCCAGAGTTTGGACTCAGGTCCCGGGATCCTGAGCCCCCGGCTTTGGAGTTTCCCGCACAGTGTGTATGGGGGAGGACGGTGCGGTTTGGAGATGGGGATGGGAGAAGGGGGCTTCGCTGTTTCCTGTTCCCCTTCTGCAGAGGGTTTTGGAGGCTCCCCAACTAAGCAGCCCGGTTGCCAATGGAGGTAGGTAGAAGGAAGTCCCTGGGGTTTGGCCATCAGCCACCAGGTGCCAGTGACGGGCACACGTGGCCAGTGCACGCGGGGGCACGCCTGCTTCTCCTAGCTGGCAGGGTCACCGGCAGGGACCCAGTGCGCTGGCCTCCAGAGGTGCGCTTGAAGAGCAGCTCCCCAACCTCCAGCATCGACCTCAGGGTCTCCTGGACGGTCAAGGTTGGGTCGGAACACCACCCGTCCCAGTCCAGGGGTGGGGCCCGCTTGCTGCCCCCACCCCCCGCTGGGAGGTTCCGGCTTTGCGGCGGCCGCCTGTGTGCGCGCACACGTGGCTGAGCGTGGGGGTGTCAGGCCTCCACGCTCCACATCCATTTCCGAGTCTGAATCAGGCTCCCTCCTGCCCCCTCCCCCCCAATCTCCTCAGTCTCCCTTTTGTCTTCTCCCACCGCCTCTGCACCCGTCCCTTTAGAAATAAAAACACTTTAGGTTGTGGGCGGGAAGGGAGGGTGTCCAGCTTCCCCGCTACCGCCTCCTGGGTGGCCCCTCTGCAGCGCGTGGTTGCTTTTTGCACCTGCAGCTGCAGAGGCAGGGAGCTGGTGCCCCCCACCCCGGCCCCTTCCTTCTTGCTTCTCCGCCTGCGTGAGGCTGGGTTCCTTTTAGCAGAGGGGGTAAACTGAGGCAGGAGGTGAGAAAGGGAGGCAAGGCCGGGAGAAGCGCTCCCGCCCGGCTCGCTAGCCACCCCCGCACCCGCGCCCGATTTAGCCGCAGGGAGGCTGGGAACATTGCCTTTATTTTAAGCCGCCGAGTGCCGCACGAACGCGGCTGATCGCGACAAAGGGCTCCGCGAAGCGGCTGCAGGCAGCGCACGTGGGGGTCCGCCCCGCCCCCGCATGGCCCCAGGGCCGCCCCGACCCCTTATTGCGCGCGCTCTCTCTCTCCCCCACCCCCCACCCCACGGAGGCCGCTGGTGCAGAAGCAGGACTCCTGGGCCGCTGCGCCTTGGGGTTACTATTTTTGGTCGCCTACAAGAAGATCCACTCCTCCTGGCCACAGTGTCCCGGTCTCGCCCCCTACACTGGTGGAGAAGGAGGAAGCGAGGGGATGCTTTTTCCATTTGGAGTCGCCCCAAGCAAGTTAGAGCCCCTTACTAGGTTTTGGCTCCGGTGGAGACCCGCGGGCTTCGCTGGATCCCGGGAGCTAGGGTTGCGCAGATGAACGTGGTCCCAGGGGCTCCGCTGAAAGCGAAGCTGTCGCGATTATCGGTAACAACGATTGCTCTCTCATTTCCCCCCAGGAGCCGCCGAGGCTGAGCAGCCGTGCGCCCACTTGCTTCTCATGTTGTTCCCATTTGACAGATAGGTAGATTTTCAAGGGGCGCGCATGCCTGGCGCTTGGTGTGGGTATCCCTGGAGCCATCCTGGGGCTCCTGTGGCGAGGGAGTGCGAGACAGCAAAGGGCCTGTGGGATATGAAGATGATTTGATTTAAAACATTTCTACATTCTCATCTGCTTGTTGAGGATGGCAGAAAGCCGACCTTGAGCCTGTCACCTGCTGCCCCCCCACCCCCCAAGGTGCACATTAACAGGAAACAGAAATGGGACTAGGTTGCAGGCCGAGGCGGAATGTAGCGGTGTCCTGGGATCTGGAAAGACGGCATAGCATCTTCGCCCTGGTATGTGGGAGCCACAATTTAAAAAACAAAGACGTTTCGGTTCTCTTTTTCCACCCTCCCTTTAAACCAGTTAAATAATTAAATAAGAATAATACAAAAAAGAAAAAAAAAACCGGCAGGGATCTGGGCAGAGGCTGAGAGTGGACAGGGGTCTGAGGTGATTGGGCTGGGTGGGCCCTCAGCCCTCGTGAATTTCGATGCTGACTCTTAGCTTCCTGGTGGGTCACAGACACAAAACACCGGCTCCTGGCCTGCCGTGGTCATAGGGGGAGGAGACCTGATTGGGAGGTCTTGCTAGCATTCCCAGGTCTACAAGCTGAACTTAGCGTTCTTCAGAGTACTTCAGAGGGGTCGGGGCACCCCCAAAGGGAGAGGCAATGTCCACGTGGAGCCAGGGAACCCACCCCTTTGGTGGTCCGCAGCCTCCTCCTTTGTCTTGGGCTTTCAGCCTTTCCACAGATTCAAGTTAGAAACAGCACGCCCTGGCATATGATCAAGCCACAAAGAAGAGCTGGCTTCTTCCCTGACTCCGCTTGTGAGACTGAGGTCTCTGCCACACTTCCGTCCCTATCCAGACGGAGCACAGAGCACGGAGATCTCTTTGTCTCCTCTCTTCAAGGAGACACTGGAGCCCTGAGGGGGGCTGCAGCTGTCCTGAGGACCCACCCAGGGCGTGGTTAGTAACCAGGGGATCCCGTATGCGTGCTGGTTCGCATCCCAGCTGCTCCATTTCCCTTCCTGCTCCCTGCTTACAGTCCAAGAAAGCAGTCAACCATAGCCCAAAGCCTTGGGACCCTGCACCTGCGTGGGAAGCCTGAAAGAAGTTCTTGACTTCTGGCTTCATATTGGATCAGCTCAGCTGAGGCCACCTGGGAAGTGTATCGTGGATGGAGGATCTTTCCGTCTCTCCTCTCTATCTGCCTTCCAAAAAAAAAAAAAAAAAAAAAAAAAAAAAAAAGAAGACCAAAGTCCATCTGGTTTCAGAGTTTGGTTTCAGAGGCAAGGCACCTGACTCTGAGCTGGGTGTCACCAGGTAGGCGAAAGTCAGGAAGCTGCCTAAATCCCCACCCGGAAAGCCTCCTGGATTTGAGCCGGCACATTTGAACCAGGGCACATAGCTCCTGGTCCTTTCAGCCAGACGGGTCACGCAGCGAGCTAGACCGCAGGCCGGGGGTGATAGAGAGCTGGGGGTTAGATCCTGTCACAGCCGGGGGTCCCCAACGCCTCTCTCAGGGCACTAGCTCGCTGTTTCGCGTTTGGGAGCGCCGTGGAGGTGCAGCGTACACCAGTGAGGAGGCACGCGTCCCCTGCCCATGGCCAGGGACAGCTCAAAAAATCGGATTGGTGCAATCGACGCCAATCCAAGGCTGTTCTTGGTCAGCGGACACTGGGTGCTCAAGTTTGCACCCGCGGGAAAAACGAGTTCCTGGGTTTCGAACGCTGCGTCCAACCTCGGCACAGCGGATCCAGGTGAGTCAGGTCCCATTTCGAGCCCTGCCCGAGGCCCGGCTAAGTTTTATTTCCTTCCAGTGGATGTCCTGTTCTTGAGTTCCCATGAAAGCAGTGACTCCAGAGTGAAGCCGAGGACGCAGGGAGTGGTGGAGTTGCGCTTCAGTCGGGTCCTACTCAGTTCTTCTTAGAGACCTGCCGAGCAGGCGCGGCAACTGTGTAGGTGGGCTTTAAGGGGAGGGCGACTCGCAACTGGGCTACCAGCGTTCCTCGGCCTCAGCGCCCGCCGCCCTAGGTGTCTCCTACCGTGGCACGCTAGAACCGGTCCAGCTGGATGCCCAGGAAAGGCCTCAGGGGGGTGGTGGTGGGGTGTGCGATGCTTGGGGCTGTGGTTTATCTGGTGCCACGCGCCCACTTTCCTTTACAGGGAGAGGAATCAACGCTCTTAGTCATCCTTCATAGCTTTGGAGTGCCTCCCCCCAGGTCGGGGAAGGTGGCCGAGGGGTGGTGCAGAAGGAGTGAGAGCTCGTCGCTGGCCTCACGCTCTTCAAGCTTGCATTTTCTCATTCGATCTTAG